CTCCCCCAGTAGAAGCTCTAAAATACGACAGCTGAATTTATGTGCTGAGGCTAAGTGCCACAAAAAGGTTTCAACTTAATTAACAGTTATATCCAAAATTAGTTTGAGGTTATTGTTACAACAGCAATTCAAAATGTGTACTTGCTGTAAATAGTTTCCCTTTAACTACTCATAAACAGGTGACTCTTGTTTGAACTAGTGAAAGTTCAAACTTGTATTTTATTAAAACAAAACTACAAAGAATCTTAAAGAGGTCATTATATATATTCTTAATTCCAATAATTTTTTATTTCATATGGATTTCCAGACAAAGTTCAGTCAGTTGTACCAAGCTCCATTTTATTTTGTTTACACTCAATTGCCTAAAAGATTACAACTGTATTTTTTTTCATAGAAAATACAAAATTAAAACCCTCATAATGATTCCTTTCCATTTATAGGCAACTAGAACACTGCATTCTTCTATCAATAATATTAAGGAATATTAACATTTCTTTATTTTTGTCTTTTGAAAGAACTTGATAAGCATGTCTTTTTTTCAACTTACTATATTGTCTTGTTGTCAGATGGTATGCCTACACTAATGCATGCAAACTGGTGATTAAAAAGCACACCAAAGAAAATTACCACTGCTCTCTCAACAAAATATAATGTCACAAAATGGTTGCCAGTTTAAAAGAATTTAAGAAGATATTTTGCTGCTGAGCTGTTAAAACATAATTTTCCATCAAATCACTTTTAATAGAACTTCTTTTAAAATATTAATGAAAAAGCCTAGCTTTACTATCTGTCTTTGAATATGTAATGCACATTATAGATAATAAGAAAGTTATGGCTGTTTGTCAGTACTGAAATACTTGTTTTCCTTTTAAGGGATTTGCGACTGGCCCAACAGCTGGAAATTCTCTGATTCTCCAATTCTCTTTTGTGAAGTGTAAAAACTTCATCCCCTTGGTCCTGTAATTAGGAGCTTTGGTCAAATATAGCAGCTCACTACGCTGAAATATTTTTACAAATAAAATCGAGAATTCTGCAGCAGGGGCATAATTAGGGTCAGGGTGAGAAAAAATGTCTGCCCTCAGTGATAAGGGGGAAGAAAAATGCCCAGTGTTGGTGGTCAGGGGGAGGAAATATACTTGGTATCAGTGGTCACTGAGTGGGAATAAAGATGATGTTTGTTGATGGTCAGTGGGAGGAAAGAATGCTAGATATTAGCTTGAAAACTCACCAACTATTTTATGCAACGGACAAGATTGGATAACTGCACTCACTAGCACTACACCAGAAGTTTTTACATTTTGGGGGCAAATGTCTACACAAGCAAATGAGGATTTTAGGCAGTCAAATATGCTGCAAATGTATTGGCAGGTGGAGTCTCCATGACACTAGGGACAATTCACTAAAGGTTATCACATGCATTATGTCAGACCACATATCACATGCAACACTGAAAATGTCAATTCACTATTGCTAGTATGTGGTATTTACTGCAAATAGCAAAAACGCTCGGTAAATACTGCATGAAAAGATGTTAAAGTCACTTCACAGAAGGAAATACATAATTAAATGCAATTATGTAGTGGTGGAGTCATGCGGTATTTATCATGGTTGTTAAGAAGTGGGTGGCCTCCGCATCCTTAACAACCGACAAGTCATCAGCTGTTGGTGGGGTTCTCCACTGATAGCTGAATGTAAAAAAAAGAATTGCCTGCATGAAAAACATGTTGATGGGGACAAGGGCCTCTTCCCCACAACCCTGGCTGGTGGCTGGGGGGTCTGTGGGCAGGAGGTTTATCAGAATCTGGAAGCCCCCTTTGACAAGGGGGACCCAAGATCCTGGCCCCCCCATTGTGAATAAGTATAGGGGTACATGATGCCCCTACTTATTCACCCCAAAAAAAGCGTAGTGTTAAAGAACACAGGAGGCACTCCTTTATTAAAAAAACAAAAATAAAAAAGTCCCCCAGTGTAGATCCATTGTTAATCACGATGCTCGCCCCGCCACCACCAATCCAAACATAAGGCTCAATCCTGATGAAGGTTCCTGCCGTCTGAGGGACGAGGGCCACTTGGTGATGCCATCGGGTGATCTCACCCCCTTGTGACATCATCAACTCAGCATGCCCCCAGTCGATGATATCAAAAGGGGGTCACCCGGTGATGTCACCAGGTGGCCTTGCCTCTTTTTAAAGAACTGTCAGATGGTAGGAGCCTTCGTCGAGAGTAGAGCTATTTTGTTTTGGGTCCGCAGTGTCTGCGGGCATTGTGATTGATAATAAGTCTATACCAGAGGACTTTTTAAAATTTTTGTTTTTCAATACATTAATTGTCAAAAACTACCTCCTATGTTTTTTAACACTACACTTTTTTTGGTGAATGAGTAGGGGTAACATGTACCGCATACTCGTTTACATGGGAGGGCAGGATCTGGGGACCCCCTTGTTAAAGGGAGCTACCATATTCCGATAAGCCCCCCAAACCCACAGACCCCTACAACCACCAGCAAGGGTTGTACTGAAGAAGCCCTTGCCCCCATCAATATGGAGACAAGGTGCCTTGGGGGGAGCAGAACCCCCCTGCTCCAAAGCACCCCCCCATGTTGAAGGTATGTGGGCTGGTATGGTTCAGGAAGAGAGGGGAGCTATCAACCCCCTTCCCTGACCTGTTGTGTTGCATGCACGAAAAAGGGTCTGGTATGGATTTTGGGGGGACCCCATACCATTTATTATTTTTTATTTTGGAGTGGGGGTTCCCTTCAAAATATGGTCTGGTAAGGATTGTGGGGGACGCCACACTGTTTTTTTTTTAAGCTCTCATTTCTGGAAATGCTTTTTTAACATTCAGCTGTCATCGGGCAATCCCACTGACAGCTGATGGCTCATTGATTGTTAAGCATGCAGAGGCCGCCCACTCTTTAACAACCGTGACAATTATTGGTTTTTAAGGACGCTGGGGACTGACCACTCCTTGACAACCAATATTTACTACTATTACCAAATACACCAGCTACCACCAGGAGGTATATTATAACATGTTTTACTACTAAAATACCGCATGATGTTATAAAATAACTAATGTGGTGTTTTAGTAGCCTTTTTTAGTGAATACCAACAAACTTTGAAAAATGTTGTGCGGTATCTTACTGCATTCTTGAATGCGGTAAGATATGGCTTTGTGAATTGTCCTCAATATGTATTGAGGCACTTATAGAATCAATGATGACTCACTATTTAAAAACCACAAAGAGATTAGTGTCAGTGAATGTAATATTGACCATTATTATAAATATGTCCAATGTTGCTCAGACCTGAAATCCCCCGTGAAGTATTGTAAACCTGATTGTGAATGTATGTAATTCAATTAGGGTAATTCACAAGTTAAGGCAAGCAGCAAATGTGATATAAAATCCAAAGCTTTTTTATTGGTTGGAAAAGATATGAACAATCACTGTTCCAATGCAATACTTTGCTGCTTAAACATGCCTCCAATTTGCTTAACTGAAAAAAAAACACAGAAGGCACTGGAGAATCTAAAGTACATCTATAATGCCTCCTGTAGACATAACAGGTATGTATCTCCTGTAAGTTCCTTGGGGGCAGGGACTGTTGTGAATGTATAAAAGCTGCAAAGTGCAGTGTAAATTGTAAGCTCTATATACAGTAAATACTTGTAATAAATAAATGTGTATGTTGTGGGAATAAGAATATTAAGTTTCTTGAAGAACAACCAATATTTCATGTAGGATCAAATTAAAAGTGGAATGTAAATAATGTATTTTGTTTACTCATAACAGCCAAGTCTCAGGGTGATATACACTATCCCACTGAATTTGTATTCACTTGAAAGACCTAGGCAGGGTTAAGAAGACGTTTACCTAAATTTCCTGCCATAACAAGAATAATTTGACTGAGCACTAACCATTTAATGGTTTCCTCAATGATTTATTGGTCCACTATGCATAAGCCTCCACTTTGCTAAATATGGAATACATGGTTAAGGCTACCTTTCTGAAATGATAAATTATGCATAAAAAGAGATAAAAAGATAGCATTCAGGAAGATGCAGCACATTTTTAGGAAATATAATTGTTCGGTGTATACAGTATTCCCAGAAGAGTTAATGCAATGATGCTGTTAAGGAAATTAGACAATCTTATACGATTGGGAATTCCTGGAACAGATATTCACCTCTAGATGATGTAGCATGTCATTTGACAAATGAAAAGGAAGTGTGTAAGTTCATCTACAATAGGCATTCTAAATGTCGGCCCACCAAAAGATATAATACTGTGCAAACGTGATACTTGTGAAGATATATTTGCTACACGGGAGGCTGTTATGAACAATTTAAAGATAATAAGACTCAAATCTATAAATATCTCTCACTCTAACAATCTGTTCAGATGTATTGTCTAGGGAAGGTTAACATTTGACATGCAGCTCAATACAGTTACACGAATGCTCTTAGTAACAGCAGTTCCCACATTCTTTAAACATGTCATCATTTCATAAGGCTTGTGACATCACTAACGTGAGAAGACTGAGAAGAGACTGCAAGCAGGAGCTTACAATGGTCTTCCTGCACCACTATAAAAACATCCTTCCTGTTTGAAATATTATCATTCGATTTACTATTATCAATACTGTTGGGTGAGTTTTCTTCTGTGAACCATTGTTTCTGATTCCTATTTAACCACTTGCCTACCGGGCACTTATACCCCCTTCTTTACCAGGCCAATTTTCAGCTTTCAGCGCTGTCACACTTTGATTGACAATTGCGCGGTCATGCAAGATTGTACCCATATGAAATTTTTATCATTTTTTTCTCACAAATAGAGATTTCTTTTGGTGGTATTTGACCACTGCTGGGCATTTTTTGCTTTTTGTGCTATAAACAAAAAGATTGCAAAAAATTTGAAAAAAAAAATGTCTTTGTTTCTATTATAACATTTTTCAAACAGGTAATTTTTTCTCCTTCACTGATGGGTGTTGATGAGGCAGCACTGATGGGCACTTATAGGCGGCACTGATGGGCACTGATAGGCAGCATTGATAGGCAGCACTGAAGGGCACTGATAGGCGGGCACTGATAGGCAGCACTAATGAGGTATCATGGATAGGCGGCACTGATAGGCAGCACTGATAGGTGGCACTGATAGGCGGCACTGATGATGGGTACTGATAGACAGCACTGTTAGGTGGCACCACTGGCATCACTGCTGGGCACTGACTGGCGACACTGCTAGGCATTGACTGGCTCAACTGCTGGGCACTGACTGGTGGCACTGACTGGCAGCACTGCATTGATGGGGACTGGTGGGAGACACTGGTGGGCACAGGTGGGTGGCACTGCTGGGCACAGGTGGGTGACACTGCTGGGCACAGGTAGGTGGCACTGCTGGGCACAGGTGGGTGCACTTCTGGGCACAGGTCGATGCACTGCTGGGCACAGATGGGCGGAACTGGTGGGTGGCACTGCTGGGCACCGATCATCAGGGCACTGATCATCAGTGCCCTGATGATTGGTGCCGATCCCTGCTCTGACAACTGCCGGTTCTGAGCAGTACTTTCCTCGCGCTCTGACAGCATGAGGAAAGTGCAGCCGAGAACTGGCAATTGCATTTCCCGGTGATCAGCGTGTCATTGGACACGGCTCATCACGTGGTAAAAGGCCGCTGTGATTGGCCTTTTACCACATCTTGTGACCAGCTGTGTCTGTAGGACCGTAGGTCATATGACGCCCTCCCAGAACTGACCGGCCGCAGTGTAGCCGTCATTCGGCTATCTGCGGTTGGCAAGTAGTTAAAGAACCTTTGCCCAGAGAAGAACATCAAAAGAACTTCTGCAACTTCTGTTGCTTCAGTTTAGCCAATCCACTTGGATATAAAGGTGCTTACTGCAACAAAAAAGGTGAAATTGGAGACCTTATTTCCAGGGCCTAGCAAAATAAGGCAAGGAAGGAAAGGTTTCTTTACAGAGAGGTCAAAATTAAGTGTAATTCCCTCAACCATATTAAGAAAAAAAAGGTTATTAGAGTACACAAATTGTCAAACTTCTTCCTGGCAAGAGAAAGGTTTTAAACACTTTTCGAAAAAATTACCTCAACCTATTACTGTTACATGTATATTTACCACTGAAATGTTTAATCCTACACAACCCCTAATTTTCATTGTAAATGCGAGCTACAGAATGAAATTCCTGAAAGCGTATAAATGTAATGTTGCATGCATCTCTCTGATTACGTTTGGAATAAACACACGTTTCTCATTAGAGGGTCTGCGTTTTTTCATTAACAAACATGTCAAATTTCACCGACTTCCTGTCAAGGTAACTAATTTAGAATCAGCTCCATGATTTTGACCATCAGTATATAATATATGTGTTCAGTTGTGTGTCTCTGATTAAAATAATCACCTTTCTTTGTTTATTTGTTTCCTATCCAATCTGTGCGAATAACATTAATCCCACCGTGCAAAGAATAAATATTTGTTATAAACTGTATTTGTCCCTGCCAAAGCTCCTTTACATGCTATCTGCCAAATATCCAGCTAAGGCCAGCTAATCCCATTTTATTGTACTAGACAAGCCGCACGGTTGTCCTGAACCCTATAGCTAACTCAAATGATTATGCACATAATGTTCTGAACATAGTGAAAGCCAAACTGTATAAAAATGGTTGGAATTGCTATACTACTAGCATGCTGTTCTATAGCAAAACACACTTTTAAAAGAGAGACTGTTCTGTGAAAATTTATGTAAACCCTATCAATGAATTTCATTTATTTTCCCCTTTTTGATTTGTTAAGTATGCCATTAAAATTCAACTAAAGGTTCCTGTATGGCAATCTAAACAAGTACTTAATCCTGTTACTATGTGATGCACTAAACTTTTTTCCCTTGAATAAGACAAATCATCCTTCATTTGTGTCTCACATGTTTCAACAACAGAGACAGTGCTGTCAATCAAGAAGACAGGTTTAGGTATGGCTAGGTTCTAATTGACAGGCTAGGGGCACAGCCTACATGTGGCAAGGTTGCATTGAATTCAGCATTAGTGTCACACCATCGCTGGAAGCAGCATTAGGTGGACTTCACAGGCAGCATCTACAGGAATATGTGGGACTGTATTGGGAGGTTGTAGTTCTACTTCAAAAGTGTTTTAGTTATATCTGTAGCAGGGTCGGTGCTGGACTACTTTGCGCCCCAGTTAAGACTTGCTACTCGCACTCCCCCCCTCAAGAAATAAATAAATAAAACTTTTTTAAAACAGTAGATAAAATATTGAAGCAGAGTTCCATTAAAAAGCAGAAGCTCCGCTTATTTGCCTCCTCCCCCTTCCACTGCCATATTTGGCACCTTTTGGGGGGGGAGAGGGGAGTGGATACATGTTTTTGACAGGTACCCGCTCCCACGTTCATTTTGCTGTGGCGAATTTAGCTGGAAGTTTTGCCCCCTCCTTCCTTCCGCAGCCTCCTGAGAACATTCACAGGTCCCAGAAGACTACCGGATTAATCAGACTGCGCAGCGCAACTTGTGCATTTGCAGTGGGCACCCGGCTGTGAAGCCGCAAGCTGTCACAGTCGTGTGCCCACAGTTGTGATGTCAGCACTGGGGAAAAAAGATGCAGAATAGGGATGGCATGGATGAGGAAATCGCTGGACCCTGGGACAGGTGAGTGTGTGTTTTATTAAAAGTCAGCAGCTACAGTTTTTGTAGCTGCTGACTTTTAATAAACGCAAAACTGTATAGAACTCCACTTTAAGTCAACAAAACACGAAACTGCTAAATTTCTTTTAATTTGCAAAAATAAATGCCATAAGATGCCACCAGCACCAATATTAAAGACAAAATCAGTGTCATGGATGGACTGTGTCTGTGGCTGGTAGTGTGACAGTTGCAGTGAGTGAGGATGATGGATCCACATTCTGACAGATCCCAGGCTGGAATTCCCCAGGCAATGCGGGAAGATAAAACGCTGTGACACGAGGCAGTCCAGCCCACACACACACACAGAAGGAACACCTGAACTAAGCGATCCCACACAGTGACAGATCCAACACAGCACACCTCCCACCAACACTGACACAGATCAGCAGGCCTAGCAGGCACTAGAAGAGCAGGCTGTGAGATCGTGATGAAGTAATCACTCACTGAAACATTCCACAGTAATGGATGGCTGGCCGGGTCATACTCAAACAGACTCGAGATATCAGAGCCAGACATTACTTTCCTCTAATGAATGGGAAGAGAAGGGCTGTGACTCCACAGTGATCAGCAGCCACCAGCTGGCTTGCAGTAAGGCACTGAGTCTGAGAGGAACACTGGAAGGAGCTGCAGTTCAGCTGCTATACTGGCCCCAGACACCCAGAATCTTCCTCTGTCCTTTCTTTCTCCTTTCTGCTGCCCCTCCCCACAGATCAAGAATTATTCATGATGTTGTGGCATCCCACACAGAGAGAGCGCCGGCCTGTGCTGTGCACAGGTGCCCCTAGGTGGCAGTGTGACCTAGGTGGCTGCCTAGTTTGCATAGTGAAAACACCTGCCCTGATCTGTAGGCTAATTTCAAAAATACGTGCTTATCCTGTCAGAAAGCCTGTAAACTGATAGTTTTTTGTGCTTTCTGCCTCCATTGCACTCTTTTCAGTTATATTGTTTTCAGCTGTCTCTGTGGACTAGAGAAAACCAACTCCTATGTTTTGGATAAAATCAAAGGGAAAAGCTATTCTGCAGTCTTGTCCTAGGGTGACAAATCCTTCTTCTCCACACAGTACAGAGAGTGTGTGTTGTCCTCTGCTAGTGTGCTATTGGTAGAATTGCAATATATTACATTTTTGCTCTTTGGCTGAGTATACTTTAAAATATTATATATGGCTGAGTATACGTTAAAACGTGACATATATATATATATATATATATATATATATATTTACTTATTTTTTTTTAGCAGAAAGTTTGAGTAGTTATGACAGCATGTCCCATAATTCTTTTTTTTGTTTTTTAAATGCTTTCCACATTATTTTTTCAGTAAATATAGAAAGGTGTTAGAGAGATTGTTGATTAACCGCTTCCTGACCGCACTATAGCTGAAATACTGCTACAGGGCATCACGGGTACGCAAAATCACGTATATATACATGTGATTTTGCAACTCCGGGTAGGGGGCACACGTGCGCCCTATCCGCACCACCATTTGCGGCCGTGTCTGTCAATGACTGCGTCCCAACCGGTGATTACTTGCTGGCGCCAGGTAATTTCTGAGGTTTTGTTTACTAACAGTTCTCCTTCCTGTCAGCTCGGGCACAGCACAGCCATCCAAAGCAGTGTGATTACAGTGAAGCACACTAACATCGCCCCCTAGTAAAACACTCCCAGCACACAGTTAAGCCTTTGATCACCCCTCATGTTAACCACTTCGTGCCCAGTGCCTTTAGCACAGTGTCAGTTGTTTTTATAGCACTGAACAATGTATTGGTGTCACTGGGGATGTCAGGGACACCAGTCAGTTGCCCCCCCCAGTGTCAGAATGTCCGCCACAGTCCTGCAGTCCCGCTATAGGTTACTGATCGCCACCATTACTAGTGAAAATAAAATTCCAGTATATATACCGCCATTTGTAAACGCTATAACTTTCACGTAAACCAATTAATTTACACGTATTTGGATTTTTTTTTAGCAAAGACATGTAGCAGAATACATTCTGGCATACATTTATTACGAAATTTGATTTTTAAATTTTTTTTGCTAGACATGTTTAATAGCAAAAAGTCAAAAATATTGTTTTTTTTCTCAAAATTATCGGCCTTTTTTATAGCGCAAAAAATAAAAACCGCACAGGGGATCAAATACCACCGAAAGAAAGCTGATTTTGTGGGAAAAAAAAGAAGTAAATTTAATTTGGGTGCAGTGTTGCATGACCGTGTAATTGCCAGTTAAAGTAAAGCAGCGCCGTAATGCAAAAAATGGCCTGGTCAGGGAGAGGGGGGTAAATCCTCAAGAAGGCAAGTGGTTAGGTACTAGAAGGAAATCTGCATTAATTTCAGTCTCATTCAGTTTCCCTGATTATAAAATTCTAAAACAAAGCATCTACAAGACAGGGAAAGCATTGTTTTGAATGGGCTGGCAAACACCTACACTTGCACTATAAGAAGAAGCAGTAAAGCACAGGTACTGTGTTGCACTGCAGAGCAGGGAGCAGAAACTGCATCTGTAATGAGAATACATAACTCTCCTTGTGAACATATATAAAAGCAGGCTATAAACAGACATTATATTTAAATTGTTCACATACAATATTATCATTTCTATAAAATATTTATTTCACAGGTCTTCTTCACACTTTTGTTCCTCTGGTGATGGGCAAATCCTTAACTCTGCAGAGAGCAGTGTGAAAAAATGGCATAGCACTGCTCCCTGCAACATTCTCCT